TCAGATTTGGTGTACCTCAGGGGTCCGTGTTGGGTCCGTTGCTGTCTCTGTTGTACACGGCCCCACTCTGAGGTGACCTAATACGATGGCATGATATGGAATTCCATCTATATGCTGATGATACCACCTTTAGTTAAGATAATGATGATCTTTCCACTACAATTTCCCGGATTGAAAGCTGTCTTGTCGATATCACCAACTGGATGACTACTAACAAACTGAAACTAAATACTGACAAAACGGAACTTCTCATTCTCTATTCTAGGTTCAGACTGCTCCCACGGCTACCTTCTATTAAAATAGGAACTGATATCATCAAGCCTACAAATAAGGCGCGTAATATGGGCGTCATTTTCGATGTCTGTTCATATTAGTAACATAGTTAAAGTGGCATTCTACCACCTTAGAAATCTAGCTAAGATTCGTAAGTATATCAATGTCACAACGGCTGAAGTTCTTGTGCACGCATTCATAAATTCGAAACTGGATTTCTGCAACTCGCTTTTACATTGTCTTCCCACGTATAAAATTAACAAACTGCAAAGTGTCCAAAACGCTGCAGCACGTGTGATTGCCTGCTTACGTAAGTTTGATCACATAAGTGATACTCGAAAGGAGTATTATTATTATTAAGTGATACTCGAAAGGAGTTGCACTAGCTACCAGTGGAGCAAAGAATAATCTTTAAGATTAATCTTATTTGTTTTAAGATACTCAACAATTTAGCTCCGGATTATTTGGTTGACCTAATCCATGTTTATGAACCTGCGAGGTACCTTCGCTCATCTTCGGACAAGTGGCGTCTTGTTATTAAACCCTATAACTTAAAGACATACGTTTTAAGGGCTTTTCCAGTCATTACCCCTATACTCTGGAACGATTTGCCTCTTGACATTAGAACGACTGATGATGTAAATAAATTTAAATCTAAATTGAAGACCTTTTTCTTTTTACGCGAGTTTACGAACTATCTTAGGTTTTTTATTTTGTATTTTTGTGACTATGTATATATATATGTAAATGATTTTAGGATTTGTATTTTTTTATCCAGAACTTTTTGAAGCATTGTAAAGCGCTTAGGACTGAAATGTATTGGCGCTATATAAATATTTTTTATTTTTATTATTTTATTAAAACTGTAACAGCCTGCGAGCAAGCTTTCCATTTAAGGGATATCAAGAGAAGTCACGCGCGAGTGGCCCGAGGAAAGAGACGCGGAAGCAAGGCGCGGGGGAAAAAAGTGAGAGCTATTCGTTTCCTCCGCCCCTCTCGGCTTCACCGCTCACTAGCGCGTTCGTTTGCCACTCGAAATGGAGAGGTTGCTCCCAGTCCATGACATTCTTAGTAGTCGTGTGCATTCGTTATTCGGTGAGCCAGTTTTCGTTGGGGATTCCTAGGAAAAATTTGAGCTATTTACATACTAAGAAACGTCCATCATGGGTCCACGTCTCCTTTTTCATAATAATATAATAATAATTCATTATTTATTAGGCGCAAAATAGCATTCAAGTATATGATCTAATGCGCATTAACAACAACAAAAAATAAAAAAATAAAATAAATATATAAGTAAATATATTTAAAATAAACGAAAAAGTAAAATTAAAATATTATGTAAAATCATACGTAAAATTTCCTAAAAATCCCTTCAAAATTTAGTATAAATCTCTCTATATACGCAATTAAAAAGGCAATTATAAGATTCGGTTAAAAAATGTATTGAAACTAAGTAATTGAAATCATCTTAAAAACGTTAATCAACAATTCACCCATTTCAACCAGCCCTTAACAATTTGCAACATTGCGGTACTCACACGTGCCTGACATAAAAAAGAAAGCTTCCGTACGCGTGATACAACGACGGCCAAGTGTACGCTCCGATAGCGTCTTTTTCTTGTAAGTCTTCGCTCTTCATTCAACGGCAAGGGGACCTTCTCTGTCAGAGCGCGTAAGAAAACCATGGAAACAGTTGATTGACGTCCACGAAAGAATAAACGCTTCGAGGGCGTTTGTTAAGGGTAACAGCTGTGGGTGTCGTTCTTGACAAAAGGAGGTAAAAGAGTGGGACTACTGGAACGGCTCGGCCTAGAGTAGGTGCAGGCGTGCAGCCAACACTCTGTATAAGTCGCTTATAACTTTCGATTTCTGTGATAGGGTTTGATCCTGCTGTAACAAGTGCGACACAGACGGTCTTGAACGCCTCCAATGTCGAGCAGCCAAAATTGTATCGAGGTCTAGTTCAAGTGACTCTGCAATGCATTTTTAATTGGGTGCCACTAGAGACTCGCAGAGACAAATATGTTTCTAAGTTAGTTAGGAAACACCTAACTAATAATTTTTTTTTGCAGTTACTTTGTAATTATTTCTCCTTTAACCGGGATGTCGTTCATAGGATTACGCGACGGATTAATTGTCCACTTAGCTCGCGAATCAGGATTGAGCCGCCAAAAGAGCCTTTTTTACCATGAAGCCTTAAGTTATGGTTAAATTTTAAACTAAATCTTACTTATGTCGACCACGTAACTTTCTGCTTTCTTATTCATATATTTTAATCATTCTTATTACTTTTAAGAGGTTATAGATTACTGCTCGTTACATTTTATATCGTTTTTATCAATTTGGTTAAGTTTTGTTTTGTAATAACTTTGGGTTGTTATTACTCTTGTTTGTATTATATACAATTCAGTTTTTAGGGCACCTATTGATGAGAGAGTTTGCCTTGACTATCTATAAGTTCTAACAGAATAAATAAATACATTCACATTAAAATTATAGTTAAACCCTTTCTCGCCGCACATTAATGCCGTGAGCTGTTAAAACAAAATTAAAAAGTTTATTTTCAACGCGCGGCAATGCACAGCTCAGTTGGCAACCAGAACAAAAAGATGTCAGGAAACAAAATAAAGGACACATTTGTCCGGCTTGCTGTGCATGCTTGCCATAGCTCACATTAAAAAAAAAATTAAATTTATTCACTTTTCAATATGAGCGAATCTTTTGTATAAGAAACAATAGACTTACAACTTCTATTGACTCTAAGGACAAGATCAAAGGGACACAGGCTGTTTTGGGACAGGCAGGTTTCAGGTAGTTGTTGAGATGACCCGGACATCTTTGAATTAACAGAAGCGTTTACCTCAACCCGAGATCAAAGGCACGCGTCGGATACATCTAGAAACTCGCTCCACTCTTGCCTAGTGTTCCATTCAATCTTCGATATTTTACTGAAAACCTCTTCCTGAGTATTCTTTTACTCATCCTATAATATTATTATTTTGTCATATTTAGTTTAAAACAGTATCTTGTGATATGCAAGTCAGCTAAGAAATGGTATCTAATGCACAGGTGCATCGGCTGACTGTGTCCCTTTAAATTACAAAATNTTGAGTTGGGCGCTCGCTTGTCTGCTTTTGCTTTTTCACAAAGATCATTCTTAAATTGACTATTGACATTGCTATGTGTAAATAATATTAGAAGTGGAATACTTTATTAAAAGTATGATCTATCAAATGTGAAAATTTTTCAAAAGAATAGCTTATTTCATCCCGAGATGATCGGAAGACCTTTATTTTGATTTAAAAATACAAAAAAATACAGGTTAATTAATATTTAACTTTTTGAAACAAAAGCGGTTAATTTTTAACTTTTTCGTTAACCGTAACTGAAAAAAATTAACCGATAGCCGTAAAAGAGCGAAAATTTTAGCCGATAACCGTAAAAGCGACCACCCCATTGAGACCCTCTTGAGATGACCCGGACATCTTTGAATTAACAGAAGCGTTTACCTCAACCCGAGATCAAAGGCACGCGTCGGATACATCTAGAAACTCGCTCCACTCTTGCCTAGTGTTCCATTCAATCTTCGATATTTTACTGAAAACCTCTTCCTGAGTATTCTTTTACTCATCCTATAATATTATTATTTTGTCATATTTAGTTTAAAACAGTATCTTGTGATATGCAAGTCAGCTAAGAAATGGTATCTAATGCACAGGTGCATCGGCTGACTGTGTCCCTTTAAATTACAAAATTACATTATTAGCCCAGATGATGATGAAAATACCTTACGGCTTATCTGAAAAGAAGGCGGTCGTGAAGGTGAATCAAAACAATGTAGCTTCAGTTGCCCGTTTATGTAAGTGACTGGTTTTTAATTCAGAAAATAAAAACAACAATAGCAACAACAAAATAACTCATAAATAATTAAATTTTCACTAACTGGAAATAGGAAAAACGCTAATATACATTGATTATTGCCATTCAAAACTCACTGCATGAATTAGTTGAACTAACAGCTGTAGTAAGAAAAGGTTCCGATAGTCTCCTAACATTTATTTAGAGCAAACTAGCTCAATGTGTACTGGGATTACTATTTTTATGTTTGACCAGTATAACGCTTTTCATGAAGTTCAATTTTCTCAATATCCGGCTTTTTTTAGCCAACACAAAATGTTCTAAAAATAACTATTTTTGATTGTATGATTACTGACCCCACAACGCTTTTCGTTCCCCTCATCTGAAGTGCTGTTTGAAGTGAAGCTACTTGTTGTCAAAATGTAATCATATACTCAGCTTCGTGCTTTTAAGAAACACCGTTGTTTTGTCAAAAAACAGATATTGAAAAACTTGATTAAAAAGACATTCTTTGGCAACCCCGCTATCGTGATGAATTCTTTTCAATTTGTATTTCTTTTCCTTTGTTCTTATTATTAACTGATAGTACACAACAGAATTAAAGTTTAAAAAAAAAACTCATTCATTTCTTTTTCTGTACATCAATTATTTGCTTGCTGCAGGAAGTTGATAAAAAGTGATAGCAAGTCACGTTTAACAGCTTTTAACTCCCTCTTACCCTAAACTGAATGGTTTTAGAGATTAGAAGCAGATTACAATTAATCTTGCAAACGAAAACATGGCTCAAACATCGAGGTAACAGAATTCGAAGTTTTCACATCGAAGAAAATTCTAGGGAAGTAAATGTTGTCAAACCTGAGGAGGAATCTGATGAGAGCCGACAAACTGAGACAGTTCTTTCGTTTATGGCCGATAACACTACTTTACACGGTGCCCGATTTCTCCTCGGTAGAAACGCTGTCAGAAGATGGTTATGGACATTGGCTATATTTTTATGTTTTGGCTTTTGTGTCTATCAAGTTTATGTTTCCATGGTTGAATTTGCAAATTATGAATTCTCCACGAAAATAACGACGAAGATACCGTCTAAGTTAGAGAACGTTTCTTTTCCAGCCGTAACACTTTGTAATTATAACCACTTCAATTTGCGAAGGTTTGAAAACACCGCACGGAAGACGTTTACAACCTGGAGCAATGAAGATGTTAAGCGAAAGCTTCATATTTACAAAATAATGCAAACAAGCCATGGAAGACATATTTGGAGTAACAAGTCATCCTTAGAGAGTAACCCTGAGTTGACCACGCGTCTTCGAGATAATGAATCACACCTTGATTATCAAGTCCTCTTTAGTCATCGCATTGAAGATATGATTCTTCCTAGCCCTCCATTCAAATCCTGCAACATAAACGGTGAAGCCTGTGGACCGAAGGACTTCAAAACATTTTCCAACCTAGCGTTTGGTCAATGCTTCACATTTAACTCCGGACAAGGCCATTTTAAAGTAAGAAACGCCACTACGGAGGGTCAACTAAATGGCTTGAAGCTGTTACTTAACATAGAGAGAGACAGTTACCTGGATAATCCGATAAGTCCATTCGTTGGGCTGACAGTTTTGGTACATGATCAACAAATGCTTCCTGTTATGGAGCAGTTTGGCTTTGCCGTTCAACCAGGGGTCCGTACACTCTGCAACATAAAAAGGAAAAAGGTTTGTTACCAACACGAAGCTCTGTTAATCTAAGCATATCTCCAGATGTTTTTGAGACACAAATTGCAGATTGTGCAATTAAAGTGTAAAACCAAAGAGATCAACATTTCTCTTAAAGTTTTCAATGCAGCAAGCGTTGCTCGAAGTTAATTAATTTTCTATTTTCGCTGAAATTGCGACTAGGCCTCGTCCACGCGTATCCAGATAATTTTGAGGATGGAGATTTTTTCTTTGTCCTAAAAAAAAAAAAAGAAAAAAAAAGAAAGAAAAAACGCGTCCACACGTAGCGTATTCGAATCATTTCGCCCGTAAACACAAAAACACCAAAAACAACCACTTAATAAAAATTAAGAAAGCCCTAACCCTAAACCTAAACCTAAATTAAAAATTATCGTTAAAACGAACCCTTTATTGTATTAGAGAGGGCAAAAGCTATTATCCGCATTAGGTGCGATCATTGAATCAATCAAATCACGTTATTTGTATATCTCATACAGATTATATCTTAATATCTCATACAGATAATAAACCTGCCAAAGCCGTATGCAACAAACTGCTCCGACAGAAATCTGCACATGCTAAGAAATAGCAGTTACAAGTATTCTCAGCCCGCCTGTATGCTGGAATGTTTGAACAAGCTATTTATAAAAATATGCAGTTGCCGCCTCTTACAATATAAAGGTAAGAATTAAGAGCCGTTTCAGAGGGAGAGTTCATCTTCAAAATCCTTCTAAACAGACGAATAATCAGATGCATTGAGTCAGACGCATTATTCATCTAAAATGACAGTCGTCCCGTTTTCATATTAAGACGGATTTTCCTCTCACACCACAGTTAACCGCGGCAGGATTAGTTCAGTCGGTAGAGTGCTTGACTACAGAGCGCAAGGTCGTGGGGTCGTTTCCCGGGGCCGGACCAATGCCTGCGGTCTTAAAAGAACTAAGAAACGAAGGTACTTCCTTTGCCCTGCAAGCGACTAGACCTTCGCTTTGATTGGATGACCGCGTAAAATGACGGCCCCGTATGCTGACAGAGACGTAAAAATAGTGTCCTCAATTGGTACTTTAATTCGTGCTAAATACATTGACACCCAAATAAAGTGCATATTTTGAGTATGAAAACCGAAAAACATCAAAGCTAAAAACAACAGCTTTTATGCTGGGAGCTCCCTGACTGTGTCGTTCACAAACTGCCGCGACTGACTTAATGAATGTGTCGACTTCTTTATTGACCAGTAAGATCAAAATCATGCTAGAAATGCTATTGAAAGTTGAGCACCGTCAAGTCTAAATCATATATAACAAAGACGTCAGGCGGCAGAGCCATTCCACACGGATAACGGCCTTTTTCACACTGTATTAGAGAGGGATTCATCACAATCGAACCCCAACTCGTTTTAAAGCGTTTTGAGTTTGGAAATAAGAGGAAAATAAATCAAATCAGAGCAAAAATAATTTAAAAAACGCTCTGTGTTTTAGCCTTCCTCAGACTGATTCGGACGTTCGCTTTTTAAAATCCTGAGAAAACTGACAGTGTAATTATTTTGAACGGACTGTTGGTATCACGTCAGCTTCATGTTTTCGGCTGCAGTTTAACTGGAACTGCAAGCGATACACCCCTATCCTCGGTACCAGATCACCCGGCATCTGGTATCCATAAAAATATTATATATATGCTTAAAAATATGACGCTCTTCTAGCAAAATAAATAATATATACTTAACAGCATGATTAAAATATTCTTTACAGATGAAGATACTTTAGTCTGTGCCCCCAACGACACACTACTTTGTATATTTCCCGTCTACGGTGAGTGCCTACTTGTGCATGATAACAAATTATAGTTAGTCACAAAAGTGTTCCCGTTAAGTATCAAATTCAACGACGGAAGACGAAAGAATCCAATCAAATTTAGAGCAATAGAAATTCTGATTCAAGAACACAAACGGTTACACTCATCCAATCAGTGCTTAACAATATGGTGCTCTATTCCAAAAAACTCTCCCTAGTTGAGTAAAACAAAGATGTTTCATTCACCGTTCATTGAAAATTGGCCACTTATACTGTATATGTGCAGACCCCAAAATATTTCTATCTAATAATGTTTTTGGTTTTTGATACTGCTATGTAAGATCGCGTCTCGATCACATTCTGTCTACCCCAACGTAAAAACAATGACTTAGAAAATTGACTGTTTTTAGAAACCCCATTAAAGTACTACCTGAAATGATGCACCTTGGGAACCTGAGGCTTCACTGTTATAATACAACTACAAAATTTAAAAAGTTTATCAGCTTCATAAAACTGGAGATTACGAGTCAACTTGAAATGATAAGCAGCAAGGTTAAAAATAACAATAATAATAATAATAATAATAATAATAATAATAATAAAAAGATTTTGGTCAACAGGGAAAAAATTGATTCAGTGGATAACGGCTATTTACGAGGCCGACTAAGGATTTCATTACCCTGAGAAATAACTGTCCCTTCGTTCTCTCTATGCATGCAAAAATAATTGCACAAAAGTCAGTCGACTAGTATTGTGATTAACACACAGTCAATGTTTCATGAATTAATTAAGAATCCCCAAATAATCCATATTTTTAATTTGAAATGTTACTTATATACAGAGACGTTTGGTGCATCCGCGGAGAAGAAAAATTGTGAAGAGAGCTGCCAGCAGCCGTGCACCGACACAGAATATGAAACATCTTTGTCATATGCAACCTTGCAGAAGAATGGTTTGATCAACAAACTTAATTCCGCTGCTAGGACAGTTAAACTCTACAAACATTTCTTAAACAAGTCCGAGTCCAAAAAAGAAAAATACCTTAAGTAAGTTTGTGCAATGTTATAAGTGAAAAGCATGTTGAGGTTTTTTTTTTAGGTTTTAGCACTGGAGCGGTTATCAATTGCGCGGGTGAATAAGATGACTATTCTCCACATGAGGAGAAAAATCAGTATTTACTTTCTTTAGTCAATAGAAAGAGATGCAGGCTTTCCAGTGAGCCACTCACAGCCGTTAAATCAGCTAAATACAGTCGGCCGGCAAAGTGCATGAAGGAAGAGGGACTATAGAAGGGTAGAGAACAAACCATACCCAAGTGTAAGTATTAGTAAAGGAAGATTGATGTTACCTCAAACGCGAAGACACTAATGCGAGCACACCGACTGGACTGGATTGATTGACTGGAATATTGCAATTATCTCCGTGTGCAATTTGGAAAGGGAATAGCCAATCACTGCAGATGTGCAAGTGTGCAAGAGAATTAGTTGAGGTAAAAAACTGGGTGTGACCCCAGACAAAATGCTATCAATACCTACTATCTACTGAATTTCTCGCGCCCGAGAGTATCCAAGACCCATTGGAGAAACTGGAACTGAGTGCGTCTAAAAGGACATCTAGGGAACGAGAAAGGTGCATAACAAGAATGCAGAATGGTTGGAAATTTTTTAGCAAAAAAATACGTATCTGTCTTCCTGGCTAGTAGAAGATGACGAGCAATATTCGTCTGCAACACAGTTTAGGACATGGACCATCTCTGTCAAGCCTGATAAGCATGCGAAGTCAACTGTCCTATTAGAACTTAAGACTCATAACGTGTATGTGCAAAGAAGGAGCTTCATTGCAGCCTAACAAACTCGAATTTCGGAAACGTCGTCATAATAATGAAATATACGAAGGTTGGACGTGGATAACAGAGAAAGAGCTAAAGCGTTAGACAAAAACAAAGGAGCCGAATTGCGTTGGTAGAGAACATGAAAATTGGTGGTGAGAAAATAAGAAATGCTAGCGGCCAGCAAGGTGAAAATGAGCGGCACTGAAAAAAAAAGCGAGCCAGAACAAAAGTGAAAAAACATTCGTGGAGCATTTACGACATTTCCTACGTAAGATGTGTAAATAAGATTTTTCAGATTGTAGTAAAGCAAACCAACGACAAAGAAATGCAAAAAAAAGTGTGCTGCACGTGCAAAGTTTTTTTTTTTCTAATTAGACCTATTGATTTTTTTGCCGCTCTCGTTCCCGTCGCCATTTAGCATTACACGATTTTATTTTTTTGTTTGAGTAAATCATAAGTATATTAACGAGAGGTTCGCTTTTAGCCCTGGCAAATCTATATATTAGTAATACCCCTAGCGTCACTTTCATGAAGGTATAACCCGCACGCCCTCAAAGACTAAGTGGAGAGTCCCTTTAGTCTGCTACTTAAAGTTAAGTCAGCCCCCGCACTTGAAAAAGTGTTCCGTGGACGGCCTGTTAGGGAATCAGCTTAACCACCGTTTTTTTATTTTTCTGTTACAGTGAAAACATAGTTTTCTTGGATGTGTATTTTCAAGATCTAAGTTACGATGAGATTGAACAAACTCCACGGTTTGAGGCATGGTCGTTGATATGTAACTTTAAGTCGTTTAGAAAAAGATTTCATATAAGGTGAATAACAGATAAGTTATTTATTTATTATTAGTTTCATTATCCGTATAGCTTTTGTTAATACCTCTTAGCATTTAACACTGTGTACAGGATACAATGAATAGTTCCTAAAGATCTAAGCGAACTGTTTTTGTTAAAGAAAAGAGCTTTTAATTCTGCGTTTTTCGAGG